ATCCCCCAAGGCTCGAGCAAGAGCATACAGTGATGGCCGCCAGTGTGAGAAGAGTCGTGCCCTTCCTTTCGCTCCATGCAACCGGATTGGAGAGGTACGTTCCTATGAAAGAGTCGTACAGCAACCATCTGAACATTACCAGTATCCAGTCCGTTTCCATGCTAAAGACCGAGTCATAACAGTCGCTTGAAGGAGGTGGCAATGTAAAGTCGGGCCGAGGTACAAGGCTGAAGCGATATACTGCCTATATTATTCAATTCTTACATATTGAACAAGATATGTCCGTTTCCCCGCCGTCATCACGACGAATCTGCGTAGGAGAACAGCGAGCCAGACTGCTCCTACCTCTACATACTTCCCGCTGCCATAGTTGGCAAACCTCGTCCTTGAGCGGCGCGCCCTACTTCCAAATCTTTTATCCTCTTCAGTCCGACTGAAACCCTTTCCCCGGTGCGTATCTTTGATCCCGTACTGAAAGGCTCTCTCATTTCATTCCATTCACCGCCGTCTCCGCCGAGAGAAGGGGGAAGAGAAGACAGAGAAAGAAAAGTACACAGGAGGAAAAAAGCAGTTGGCCAGACTGTTTTTTCCCGCCCTTGTGTTCCTTGTCTTTCCTTGTTCCCCTCCATCCCTTTGAGCAAGCGAATGCCATTGTTCTGTTCGTCCATTCCACCCAAGCTTCCGCTATTCGCACCCCGGGATGCAGTGCAATCATCGTGTCCCCCACTGAGGCGCTTGTCCTCTTCGCCTTTGGTACGGGAGTGCCGGTTTCGTCAACAACGCAAAGCGTGATGATATATCCATCACATCGTATGCCACTCGACTCGCGGATTGATCGATGCCGAGCTCAGTTCCATGCAAATGAAAAAATGGAGTTGTCCAGATGGGGCGAGTAGTGGAATCGTGAAGCAGTAAACTCAGAAGTCCGGAATCCAGTCAGTTTACTGGTGCTTTCTGGAAGACAGGCAGAGGTCGTGGTGGTGGCGTTTCCGATGTATGTGATTCTTCGGGTTGCAGCTGGAAAAGAGAGGAGGAAAAAAGCGGTGTTGGTAGTGAGGTTGTTGCTGTTGTTGCCGAAGTATGGTGAGCCTGCTCCATTCGAGTGACGATAAAGTGGGCGAGAATTCGGTACAGGATCAAGTTTGGAGTCAACATCGCAGCAAGGCGGCAATGAAGGCATTCCGTAGCACTGTGGTCGTGGTGGCTGATAGCCTCTGAGTACCAAGGATGTATAAGGAAGCGTTTTGGGGTAGCGATTTTTCTGTCATTCAAGACTTGATGTCCGGAACTTGGCTGAAGTCGAAGACGAGCCTCCGCCGAGGTCTCGTTATTTTTCGCGAAGGCGTGAAAGGAATCTTGACGCTCGAAGTTGAAGTTGAAGTAGAAATCCAGGTTGAAGCTGAAGATGTCAAAGCGACAGCCGCCGGAGAATGGTAAGGGGCAAGCTGTCTGCCGATGAAGAAGGTATACCGTCCGCGAGACTTGCTCCTTTGATCACCACAGGCTGAGTGAGGTATGCCAATAGCAAAGATGTTGTATGATGTCCGGGTCCAAAAGGAAGCCGCCGGATTTTTTCTTTTTTTTGTTTTTCAGTCGAAAGAGAAAACCAATACCGAATGGATGAGTGGTGGTTGGTGATTGGTGATAGAGGGTAAAGACTATTCGTCAAGTCCTCACTGCGGTTCAGATATCAATATCATCCATATCCACTCCAATCGAAGCGTCCCTCGAAGGAGTTTCAGTAGAAGACATGAAATGCAAACCGGATGCAAGGCGTCTCTGGGATGTGACTGCCAGCGTGGAGATGGGCCGAGATCTGAGTCGAGTGGTTCAGAGTAATCGCTCATAGCCCGGGGGGTGGTGCATAGATCTTCCCAGCTGGGGGTTTGCTCTGTGTGCGAGTAGATTAGTTCGCATATGTTTCGTGCATAAGCCTTCGAGACCCGCAGCAGCCTTCTCGTCATCGCTTTGATTTGCTATAGAGATGAATACAAAGCGATGATAGGTCTCTTCATCACGTGTGGCAGGTTTGTCCGCGGGAAGGGGGCTCGCTGATACAGATCGCATACGCTGCTTGCATGAGGGCTGCAGACTTGCAGCTATATCTGTCTACTCGCCCTCGATTGGCGACAAGTATACAAAGTGGATATGGGAGCTTATCATCCCGTGTGACGGAAGAGCTATATTTCCTGCAGAAAGGGGATCCGCATCCGAGACCTCGTAGCTTTGGAGCAAGCTGCACCTCCTCCGACTTACCGTCAAAGAGCAAAGCAGGCAAAGGTACGTCTTCCCATCTCGTGTGACGAGTTTGCCTCATATCTTGACTCGGCCGCCTACAGGAACAGCAGTTCGCATGCGAGACCTCGAGGCTCTCCAACAAGCTGCGTACGGATCTGCACCTCAATTTGCCACGGAGTAGTACAGAAAGCAGGCCCACATCTCCGCCTTTTGTGTGAGAGGTTTGCTCTGTGCAGCAGTTCGCATACGAGTCATGCATGGAACCTTGAAGTCTTGTATGACAGGTTTGCTCCATGGCAGCCGTTCGCATACGAGAGGTGCAGGGGAAATCGAGGTGGTGGGTGTGGAGTTTGCTCTGCACAGTAGTTCGCATACAAGACGGGCATGAGACCTCGATTTCCTGCATATGCATTGGCGTGGAAGGCACAAAGAGAGGCCAAGGAGAAGCAACAGAAGCCAACAGAAGCTAATAGAAGCAACAGAAGCCAACAGAAGCAGCAGCTGCAGGGCAAGAGGAGCTGGAGGGTGAGACTCAGGCAGAGGTAGGATTCGAAAGTAGAAGCAAAAGAAGCAAAAGAAGCAAAAGAAGCAAAAGAAGCAAAAGAAGCAAAAGGAACAGGAGGAGATAGCAGATCCTTTTGGGAGACCATTGCATGTCAGGTCTAGAGTCGGACGAGTGAGCCTGCATCGGGTGTGGCGGTCCAGACGCAAGCGGAGTGTGGCGCTACGTCCGTCAATTCGATGATAAGGTTATCTTCGGGACTTATACCGTCCCTATGCCTGCACTTCTGGGTCGAGTAGTCGCATGTGGGGAAATGCCGCCCTACCCGGCTCAAGATTGGGGCCAGATTGTCTAACAGCATATGCTTCAGAGAGGCGGCGTCGAATGTACTTCAGCGCCTCCGAGACCGAATCGAGAGGGTACAGAGCAGCGCCTTAGCGAGATGTGGCCTGTTTTAGGGGTGTGGAAGTGAGGATCGGCTGTTCTTGGCTCCTGCGTCCGCGGTTTCGGACGTTCGTGCTGCGAAGTGTGCAAAAGATGGTAAGAAGAGGATGATGTCGGAATGAGCTTGGTCCAGTGAGTCCATTAGCATACAGGCCTGTACAAGGAACAATGGAGAGATTTCACCAAAGATTTGCAGCATGCCTCTAGGTCACCCCGGCTAGGAGTACGTTTGTTATCGCCAGTTGCTAGATTGATGAACGTGTCATGTCCAGTGCATTATCTCCTCCAGCTTCGTTGACTAAGATCTTCATCCGGTTGAAGTCAGAAGCGCTCATTGTTCCATCGTTAGTCGCGTCGTGTCCAGTACATTATCTCCTTCGGCTTCATTGACCAAGATCTGCATCCGATGAGAGCGGCATCGTAGGCATCAATTCCTCCTGCTCGGGATGTCCGGTCTACTGTCCAATCTTGCCATTGGATCATTTCCAAGAAAAACATGTCCATTCCGCTTATATCTGCGGTGTCAGTTGTTGCTATAAATATTCTCTGCTCCACAGCTTGCTTTGGAAAGCCAAACTGAGCTCATTGTCCTCGTATTCGTTCGTGTGAGCCTGGCATCTTCACTGTCGGCCATCTAAACGTACCCTCACTCTCGATCATGCGATAGTCTTCCCCTTAGTCCAGGCTGACTGAACGTCCTCTGCGCACTCCTCTGCAAGTCAGCGTATTCTCTTCACTCCCATCCCCCTGAACGTATCTTACTTACTACCGATCAACTGAACGAACATCCTTGATTCCAGGTAATAGAACGAATGCGCCTCACCTCCAGCCAAATGAGCGAATCTCCCTCACTTATCTTCACTCGACCACCCGTATCGGAAGGTCACATAACCCCAAGAATAGAGCGACAGTGTCTGTGGATTAGCTATTGCCGTTGCGAGTCGCTCGGCTTGATCATCAGGCTGTAATTCGAGGGCCGGGTCGCGAGGATTTATCGGAACTAAGGTCTGATCATGGTATCGGTGGAGATCGGCGTGCGTGTCGTAGCATGCATTTTATGTAGTGTCTATCGTTTCTTATCAAGCAGAGGAAGAGACAGGTGAAGTTCAGACGGCACGGGACGTCGTGAGCCGCCTCCGCACGGCGGCGGCCGAAAGGCGGAGATGACATGCAGGCACCAGGTGCCTCGGATTGAGCCGCTCCATAACATCCACATTAGCGTACCTGGAGCCTTGCTTTTAGCGGAGGACAAATGAATAAGGGGAAAAGAAAAGAAGAAGACAGAGGATGTAACGTCACGGAGTGTTCGAGGGTGTCATGGATTGGGTGCATGGATGAGCATTCGCGGGTCTTGATGTTCTTTTGCATTTCCGAGTGGGTGTCGTTGCTCCTCTGGAAAGTGGCGCAGCTTTAACACAGGCGGCACTTGGACGAAGGAGAAGTAGGAGCAGGATATGGCACACTGGTCAGAAAGGTAGCATCCCATGTCGGGTGCGCTAACATACATTATATTATACATCATGATGCACGCAGCTCAGTGCAGTCAGCCGGTGTGTACATGCAGAGCTCGTGAAATACGGCGGCCTCTCTCAGTCATACGACTCGTCTCTCATCATTATTCTTCAGCGGGCCAGCGGGCCATTAAGTCCAAGATCATCTCATCTTTCCACCCAGGCATCGTCGGTAATATCACGGTCCTCCTGGATTAGTCCGCACGACAGCAAGCTTCTCCGCAACGCACCGTCGATAGCAGGCCATCCCGCATTCTCCGCATGACAGCGAAGCTCGAAGTGAACCAATCGTCAAGCGTTCCAGCTTAGCTGCTGGCGTTGATCTTGGAACGAAGAGCGGTCAGGACCGTGATAGCAGAATCGGCTTCCTCGACAAGGCCCTTCTGGGCCTGCGTAAAGTCCGCAGCAGCCTCGGATGCGGCGATGATGGCATTACCCATTGAGTCGTAGACTTCGTCCAGTGCGGACAGACTACCCTCGCCGTGTGGCTGGAGGAGATCCCGTAGCACTCTTTCCTTCTCCTCAAGCACAGACTGAAGAGTCGGATCCCCGGCTGCGGCTTTGCGAAGAGCTTCGATCGTTGCACGGAGTCCCTCAGCTTCCGCCGGCTCTGGCTCAGCAGGTTCGCGTATATGCTCGATGAGTTTGCGGATCGTGATAGCCTCGGCTTGCAAGGTATGTGTGGTCCGGAACGCTTCCTTGAGATCCTCGAGGAGCGAGTGACAGAGAGAGACAGCGGAAGCCAGAACGGACGATGGCCTCTTAGACTTCGGGTTGCACTTCAGCTTGTCTTCGAGAGCATCGTGGGCCGCAGCCTGGACGCTGGCTTTGCTTGGAAATACCACTGCTTGCCCAGTGCGTGGGGCGTCCGGCTGCGTGGTACGGTGAATGAGGTACGACCAAAGCGGCAGGGAAGCAATCGAGGTGGGGGCAGGCTTCGAGGATCCGACGACAAGATGACCCGCAATGGACGCAATGAAGGCATTGTTGATGGACGCCTTGATGCGAGACTCATCATCCCAACCGTCGCGAGGGTGCACTTTGTAAATATTTTTCATCCCGGCAGCATCGGTGATGTCCTGGAACATGGCATGATACCCGAGGGGCGAGCAAAGTATTGTAGACTGCGCCCTCCAGTCGATCCAGACTAACAAGGCGGAGTCTGTGCCATCTGGCGCGCGGAAAGTCACCACCATCATGAAGCATCGTCTGTCCTCGCAGTCATCGCCGGAATCATTCTCTCTCTCTGCACGGTATTCCCGAATTACTTCAACGGCCTCTTGAATGCTTCCATGGGTGGAAAAGGCGATGGTGCCATGGGTAATACGATCAACGAAAGTGTCGAGGACATCAAGAGTAATGTCGAACTGGTCTGGGTCGAACGTGGCATTCTCGACTTGCGCGCTGCCAGTACGCTGCTTCTTGGCCGCGATCGGAGCGAAGGAGGGTGTGGAGGGGCCTCGGCGCTTGCCCATGTCTTCTTTGCTGGCGGAAGTCGTGTGTGGATCGTCACGTGAGACGCGATCAGGCAAGGAAGGGGTTTCGCGATGGGCGGTGGTCACCGGTGACTGCGAGATGGGAGTGTCGAGCTGAAATCCTATCGGGTCGTCATGAATGTCGAAGAAATCGTGCTGCGTGGGTGCATTGGTTGCGTCGTCGTCGTCGTGCAGCTGGGCGCCCGATAAGATGCCGTCGTCGGCGGGCGAAGGGCTCGGGCGGTTGCCTGCGCGTGAAAATCTCTGACTGGTGCCTGCGATACTGTTGGGAAATCGTAGGCGGCGGCGGTGATGTTGCTGGCGAGGCAAAGTGGGTGCGGATGTGGGTGTGAAGACGGAGGAACGGTCGACGTCGAAGTCTGGAGGTGCAGCGTCGCCAAGCAGCGAGTGGTCATTGCGCAAGGCAGCCGCGCGCGCATTGCGCCCCTTCTCCGGCGTCCGAGCTTCGCTTGGGTCGGACGAGTCACCTGATTCGGACTCGCTGGCTGATGCAGGAGGAGATGCAGGCGGAGACGAGGAGAACAGTAAGGAGTCGTCGTCGTTGTCCTCCATGTTTCGCAGATGGCCCCGCGCAGTATGCGCCTTCGGCCGTGTCTGTGCAGAGGGCGTCTTTGGGCGTTTCTTGCTCGAAAGCCTAGTCGGCGGTGTCGGTGGATCAGCAATCGATCCATTCTTGGCCTTGGCCAGCTCGACCGCGCCCTTCGCATCCGTCGGTGTCCACTCCATATTCCGAGCTCGGTTGCTAACTTTCGTCTCGCCCTTGATGCGTGACTCGCGGGCTTGCTTCAAAAAGCCGACAGCCTCTTCTGCGCTCCGACAATGCCTGTACAAGTTGTTCTGCAAAAGCTGCAAAAAGGTCAAGGTGTTTCCATCTTTCCCAAACAGCCCCCACATGTCCAATTGACTCAATCGCCAGAACTCAGAGCGGTCAAAGTGTCTCATTACCCCCGGTACTCTGGCATGGACCGTCCTCTTGATCATCAATTCCAACACACAGAACGAGTCCGCGTCCAAGTGTCGCATCATGTCCGGTGCTCTGATTGCCCCGCCGCGTGCATCTGTTGATTTCCTCCATGCCTCTCGGAACTCGTCCAGGGCCAGCACCCAGTCTTCTCTCCGGCCTGTTGCTCGAACAACGGCTTCGCAGTATCCCTCCTCTACATCCGAGCGTGTATCTTCACCGTCATCCTGGTCGTATTGCGAAGCTTCGTCCGAGGGCGATTGCCGCGCCTTGTCCGACAGTGATTGTTGCTCGTCGCTCTGCTGTGATTGTGCCTCGGTATCCGACCGTGGTTCCTGCTCGTCGGGGGATGGTGGGTCCGATTGTTGTGCGTCGCGCATGATTCCGGAGCGACGAGTATTTCTGCGTGCCATTGTGAGACTGCATCGATCGCATGATATGTTCAGGTTGCTTACGCTCACTTTAGAGCGGCATCGTCGCGGCCCAGTCGACGTGAATGATGTTGTGGTTTCCGAAAGTTAAAACTCAGCCTGCGACGCACTGTCACGTGTCTTCTTGAGCGGGGTGGCTTCGTCCCGAGGTAAGCCGACTGGCCGACTGTGGCCTGAGGCACGACATGCGGCGGCTCCTCCGCCTCGCCCTCTCACCATGCGGAGCGCTTGCACGCCTGATGGCAACGGGAGTCCCGTGACTCCCGATTCAAGTTGTACTCGTAGATTGACGCAGGATCATGCCGCAGCTGCCAGCCATCGAGGATGCAGATGATCGTGAGTTGTGATGGTGATTGCGGCGAAGAAGTAAGAGAGGGGACAGGCAGTGATATGATATATCTTGGGACAACATGTCGCACAATGCATCTGTGAGGCCATGCTCCTCGACATTGCGTTGTTATGAACGTGCGCTGAAATGGCGCCTACTTCACATGTGCGAGCCCTCTCTGGCACAACTACTCTCACACATATGTCGCTGTATTCTGTGCTGCTTCATCGAGATGCCGCTGGACTGCCCGCCTCTTCATCGCCTCAGCGCGATTCAGTGCATCAAAGTAGCTCATCATCATCCCAGTCAATCAAATCGTCAAGATCATTCACTACAACATCCATCGCCGTATCCATCACAGTGTCCACAACGGGCTCCTCGAGCAGCTGCTCGTTTGGCTCATCTGTCTCTTTGTCATCCACCATGGCTTTCTCCTCCACCTCTCCCTCCTCCTCGGCGGCATTGGCCTGGCCCAGCAACAACTCCTCCAGGTATGGATTGATCCCCTCCATGGCGCTGACCTTCGCCTTCCTCTTGTCTTTCAGCAGCTTGCCAGCTACCCGACGTCCGCCGACGTTGACCGTGACACGATACTTTTTATCTTCAACGATTTCGACATCGGGTCTGAGACCAAGGCGTTGATGGAGGGTGTTAAAGCGTTCCAGAGGCTCGTCGGGGACTGTAGTGGACGCCTCAAATGTCAGCCGGCAAGCAACATGGAAAGGAAGTGATACAATTGATGTTGTTAGCTCACGTGGTCTCAGCGCTTTTGCTGCTTTCTTCTTCGCCGTCTGCCCTTGCTGCTGTTTCTTGATGCCGCTGTTCTGCGAGCTGGGCTTCTGGGTTGCCTTGGTCGGCGTGCTGATCGTCCGGGTTGCCTTGATCGGCGAAGCTTTGGGCGCCATTGAGATGCTCCGCCGTGAGCGTCAAAGTTACATCGATAGCTCGGTGTGTGTAGCTGGGAGAGAGACAGGAAGAGGAGGTTCGGAGGTCCGACCCATGCTTCTCTCGTTTGCAGTCATCTCCTATGTCTGCAGTCGAAGGCTCGTAGCTATCCGCGGAATCGGCCGGCCAAGAGCGGCGGAGCCAGAAGGGCATCGCTGTCGCTGTCGGTATAATCTGGGATGAGACTCATGACGGTAGAGCTGTATGCACCGTGATGGAAGAGGGTGGTGTTGTACAGGACGCTGCGCTGGTCCATCTCACACGCTCTCGCGCCGCTCAAAGGGTGTGGCCGAGCTGCGCAGCGATGGGGCTGCACCAGGTTCCGCGGGACAGAAGTCGAAGCGGCAGCCGCTCAAGTCTGACCCCGGCTGGAACTGCACCAGGTTCCGCCGCACGCCGTGCCGGGACAGAAGTCGAAGTCGCAGCCGCCCAAGTCCACCAATGGCTGGAACTGCACCAGGTTCCGCAGGTCGAAGCTGCCGCCGCCCAATTTCCACCACTGAATCTGCACCAGGTTTTACCGCACCGCCAAAGTCCACCACTGGCTGCGCCTGCACCAAGTTCCGCCGCGCCAAAAATTTCGACTTGGAGATGGCACTGCGAGCACACGACCGCACCTTGACATCTTCTCACATCTTCTCACTTCCGTGTCTTTGAGACCTCTTCCTGCTAATACGATACGACTGCGAGATGTATCGACGACGCGTCTGACGTTGCACTGTGGCTGTGTTCGGATGTTGTGGCTCCCGGCAAATGGTTGGTATCGCGCCCGGTGTAGCTGCAGCGGAAGCCGGGCCTGTCCGCTGCCGAGATTCTGCACCCGCTTAACGCGCGATTTCGTGCGACGCGTTCTCCGGTACCACCTCTTCACGAACCGACATGTGAACACCATCATACATGGACTGTTCTGCTAAGCTTGCTCTCCAAGGTATCGCAACTCTGAAGCACTCGAATTCCGCTGCGAAGATCACTATCACTAGGACATATCCTCTAGACCGAGCTTTCCTCCACATGCTACGCATAACAAGCGACGAGGCTGTCACTCGAGAGTTTCGCTGAGCACTCGCCTGCTCTCGGCACAGCCACCTTTTCGAGAATCGGACTCCTCTATCGCCTCGACATACCCCAGACATCCGCCCATCGTCCGAATGCCGCTTGGAAGTAGTATCAGAAAAGGTGGGTTTACGCTGGTACGACTTGCGCCGAGTTGCAAAGGATATTGCGGATTCCGGCGTGGCACTCTGCCTTGGGCTGCGTTGCCGTCAAAGGTCCCGGTACGCGTGAGGTCACAACGGCCTTCTGCGGCGTAATGAACTGCAGCAACTGCACACACTCTACCAGCCGTCCCTCCGCTAGAACCTCCCCCAAGACTCAACAGGCATCTGCAGCGAGCGACTCGCGCAAGAGAGGCGACATCTTGGTCGACGCTTACGCGCCATCTAGTCTGCGCAAGAGAGCGACTTTGACCCGGTGGACAGCACCGTACGCGCTGGACAAGACAATGAAAGATGGGACATTGAGGCGAAGCATGAGCAGAGTCTTGAAAGCCCAATTTCTTGCAAAGATATACATCCCACTCCTCGCGAATGAACAAGCCGACCGACACTCTGCTGCCTTCTGGCGGCCAAAACCCTTGAATGAGTCAACGATAGCATCAGCTACCATTTTTCTATTGCAGATCGTTCTCTACACCTCACCGAGAGGTGGGTGACGTATCGATGCTACTCTTGCTAAAGCCTGTCCCAATTCCGGCCAGCTTCCGCGGCCGGCAACAACATCTCTCGACTCTTTAGGGCCCCGGCATATTCTCGAAACGCAATTTGGAATCATGCACATGCATCTTGTAAGATTCTAGCCATCTGCGAGCCATCGTACCCCTTTGCAGACACACAGTCAGTAATCCAGACTAAGCACTCCATTGCACTCGCAGCACTTGGCCTAACACACGATTGGTGCGCCGCATGCGCGACTTCAATATCGCTACCGGACCGATCTTTACGGGGTCGGCTTGCCGGAGTCGGGCTGCACGGCTTTTGCCCGCGCTCTTTCCCCATGCCGCTCCTCTCCTTCCCTCCGCCACCGCCGCGAGCGTGAATGGCAGCGACTACGGCCATTCCTTCACGCTTGCATCACTTGCATCATCACGCCAATCACACAATCGCCGATCAGGCTGCAGCGAGACCGCTCCAACTTCCGCTTCCCAACTTTTCCAGTTTACGCTTTCCCGTTCTCTCCACCCACACTCATCAACGACACCAACGTCACCTACCACCCGCCACCCACCACCAGCATGTCTCATCGGCTGGATACTGGCTTCACGGACTCGACAAGGCTCTCAACAAGCCCGCCCTCCAACAGGTGGACCCGGCCATGGTGATCCTCGCTGGCGCTGGCCTCGATGGAGCCGGAGCCCGTACTGGACACCCTTGGGACACGCTGGTGGTGCGGCGACATCGAGAAAGCCATCGGGAAAACTATCGACAGCGACATCGCAGCCGATATCATGACCAGCAAACACGTTCAGAGCTTAGTTTTCCTCTTCCAAGCCGCACTCCCCACTCCTTCATCACTGACAGAACAGTGTCACTCGACTGACGACATCGAGCACATCACCGACATGGGCAACACAGTCAATATAACGCCCACCAAACATGTCCAGGGCTGAGTTCCCCATTTTCAAGCAAACGTGGCCGATTTGTTCCATCGCTGACTACTACATGCTCCTCCACGAACTCTGGTTCACTTCCGACGATCCCCTGCTCTGGCAGACAGCACGACACACCTCGTTCCTGTGGCAACATTGAACCCACGATACGAGCTGAGTGTTCTCACTCTGTTTTCACCGCCCACGCTTGGCCTTCACTGACTGCTGCAGGCTGCTCACAGACATGTCCCATTGTACACTCGACACAGCCTGCATCCCACACACAGCACTCGGCGACAACACCTCGGGCAGAGCCTAGTCTTCCCGCCCCTTCCTGGACACAGCTGAAGCTTGGCCGTTCGCTAACTACTACAGGCTACTCATCCACCTCTATCCTCGTTCCCGCCTTTCCACTCCTCTCACAGACAACGCCGCCTACCTCCGACCGATATAACTCGACAGAACTACCTCACATAGAGCTGGGCCCTCCCTATTCTCTCCACAGCTCGATCCTGGCTCTTCGCTGACCGCTACCAGCTCCTCCTCCGCTTTTCTCTTCGTCGTTATCCTTCGCCTTCTCCAGAACATAACCTATCGTACCACCTTTCGGCAGCACTCGAAGACAACACACATCTATGACAACACCTAGAGCAAAGCTGAGTCTCTTCTTTTCCTCCTCGCTGTGCAAGCTCGCTCCTCCGGTGACTCCTACCGTCCGGCAGACAGTATAACATACCTGAGAGCGACAGCATCGACGACAACACGCATACATGATGGCACACCTCCATGGTAGCACCTGGAACAGAGCTGAGTCTCCTTCCTTCCCTCCCACAGCTTAGGCTTGATCCTGCGCTGACTACTGCTGCTCTGCCCCTGCTTCAACGGACAGCACAACACGACTCTGACCGCCCACACACCGCTACTTCGACCGACGGCACCAACTGCGACTTAACAGCAACGCAGAATCCGGGCCTGAAAGTTCTTTCTCCCTTGTCAGCTTCATGTTTGATCCTGCGCTCACCGCTCTCGTCCTTCCTCCACTTCAACGGAGGATACAACACACGTTGCACGCCTCCGACCGGCAATGAACCACCACTTCGTATGACCACACCAACGACGGCGACAATGACGATGCACAACGCCCGTTACTGCAAGCTGAGCCTCTTCCCGTCATTCTTGAACCTGCGCTTGATGCTCCGCTAACTGCTGTTGTGATTCATCTGTCTCGACTCTCAACGGACCACCGCTCCAGACGACGACGTCGACGACATCAAGATGGTGACCTCGACAAGGACTGGATCGCGCCCCAACATCCCCCCGCTTGACCCTCTCTTCATCCTCTCCTACTCTTGGCGCTTCGCTGACTCCTGCAGACCACTCACTCATCTTTGTCTCTGTTTCAGTCCTTCTGCTTCGGCCTTCCAAACACGAGTCCTCCAGGCGGTGCCATCTACGGCGTCAACGCGGCAACCCCGTAGACGTCGGAATGGTGGACGGACATCATCGGTACAGAGCTCTCCCTTCCTCATCTTATCATCTTGGCCCTTCGTTGATTGCTGTAGGGAACTCGTCGATCTCTCTTTTTGCGTCCGTCTCTCCAGAATGTTGTCTCAATCGACAACACAGCATCGCCTCGAATGTGCGTAGTCTGTTCCCTCCTCCACAGCTGACCTCGCTCTCGCATCCAGGGACGGCAACAGATAGAAAGTCTATTCCTTCTCTCATCTTTGACTTCGCTGTCCTGTACAATCGCTGATAGCTACAGGTTTCGACTTGATCGTCTTGACCCTAACCAACTCACAATCCAACCTCACAACGACGACAAAGGCCTCACACCTGATCGCGTTCTGTCACCCAGGGATCACAACAGATGTAATGCTTCCTGCTCCTCCCATCCCTGGGCTCTCTTTCCCGTACAGCCGCCAATGGCGGCTGTTTTCCACTTGATCGTCCTCCGCTTTACCACCCCACAGTCTCACACCGACGACAGCGACCTTCCCCAAAGTCTTCTTAACGAGCACATGGGCTGCTCTTTCCTCGACCCCCTTCAAGAGCTCGTCACATTCCCAGACCAACCGCGAACACCTACGTCCCAGCGTCCATACATGGCTATCCTCTCCAAACCCCGGACGACATATCATAATAGCACCACACGGCCGGATGCAATCTCGTTCTCGTCATGCAAGCGTCCTGCCACTAGAGATGACAACATACGGGCAGTCTCTTCCTCGCCCTCGCTCCACTGAACAGTCGCTGATAGCCATCGTTCACCGTCACTTATTCTCTTCGACTTCTCCGTACAAGTGTCGCGGCCAT